AATTATATATATATATATATATATATATGAATTTAAAAACACCTTGCTACGTACTGCGTTGAGCTAACCAAGACTTGTCATAGCAGTTGCATTTTATTGCTCTTTTGTTAGTTTTGATTGCTTTTATTGTCCTCATTTGTAAGTTGCTCTGGATAAAAGCGTCTGCTAAATGACTAAATGCAAATGTTAACATTTATATTAAACAAAATATTATATATTTATTTTTCGTTTTTAGATTTATTATTTGAATCTAATTATATTATAATACACACACATTATATATATATATATATATATATATACATACATATAATGTAATTATATTAAAATAAATGAAATATTTAGCTCATTTAAGAACTCTGAATTCTAAAATTCTATATATATTACTCATTTTATTTTAATCTAATTATAACACACACACACACACACTATATATATTACTCATTCTATCTTAATCTAACTCTCACACACACACACACACACACACACACTCAGGTTTGTTTTTGTGAATTGTGGGGACTCTCCATAGGCGTATTTTCTATTGCCCTACACCTAAACCTACCCCTTACGGGAAACTTTCTGCATTTTTAGATTTTCAAAAAAACTCATTCTGAATGATTTATAAGCCTTTTGAAATATGGGGACACTTAAAATGTCCTCATAAATCACCTTCTCGTTGTAATACTTATGTCATACCCATGTCATTATACAAATTTGTGTCCTCATAAATCACAAAAACGCGCACACACATAAACAGGGTTAGTACACATTTTTACCAATAAATTTCCATGACTTTTGAGACAATTTTTATGACCTAATGTTCCATTATTTTACAATAAGAATAAAAATCGTTTAGAATTTATCATAGCAAATGTTAAATGAAAATAAATTACTATATTATATATTAGTCATATACATGTGTTTCTCTGTTGTCCAGCAGCGGTGCGGTGAACGAGAGCCGGCAGGTTCTGCAGGAGCCAGACTTTGCTCAGTCTCTGCTGCGAGACCCGAACACTCCCATCATCCGGAAGTCCCGCGGGACGTCCACTCAGGGCACGTCCACCCACGCCTCCTCCACACACCTGGCCATGCTGGACGACGTGCGGAGCAAAGCCAGCAGCGTCAACAGCAAGATGAGCAGCTATCATGGCAGCCTGCATCACTCCAGAGACGGCAGGTCAGTTCAGCAGCATGCCTATGCATAACGTATACTCACGTAAAGACATCTACACTATAGCAAATATGCTTGATTGTAATATTGTTGCAAAATGCAACTAACTATATTATTTCCAAGCTCTTTATGTAAAATATATAAGTATGTCCAGTTTTATCCACAAACATGAAGTATACTCACAGAGGGCAATATGTAAGAAAAACTACAGTATATTGCAAATACTGAGCTAATTGATTGCTTGTATCATCACAAAATCTTATTTATTATTAGAGTTATTATCGCCCAGTTCTAATATTTATGTATATATATATATGTATATATATATGTATATGTATATGTATGTATATGTGTATATGTATATGTATATATATGTTAGGGCTGCACGATTAATCGCATGCGATATTTAACGCGCATCTTATCAGTAAAGCCGGTTCTGTAATCAGCGGTAA